GTTGTGTGACTGATCGGCCAAGTAATAAAGCCTAGCCTCCTCTCTAGCTCCAGTGTTACAGAAGTAAAGACGGCTTCAAAGGATCCATGGATGTAACCTACAGCCTGATTGAGCGATTTTTGCTATTCCTCAGACCTTGTTGAACAATCACGATGTCGAAACCTGAAAACAGAGAACACCCAATATATAGTGGTGTTGCGCTGTCCCGGAAAGAACGACGTCCCTTCCGATCAGGTCGAAAATTTGGGAAATTCGACTTCGGGCGATTTGAAAATTTAGTTGGTTCTGCCTATTTTCTTGGAAAGGACAAGATTGGTGACGTGCAAGTCGCATGCAGATTTCTATTCAGAGAGTCACGATGGGGTGTACTGAGTCCAGATAAGAACCCGGGAGGCATTGTCTACCTAGATTTGACCTTTACTGAGCCACGGGCGTGTCGCCTTAAAAGTACAGCTATCAAGCTAACTTTGAATGAAGAAGATGAAGACCTCCACCGCTACTTTAATGCTGGAGACTCGTTAGCAAAGGCTACGGTTCCCGTACACATCATTAAATATGGCCCTCAAAGTCTGCATGGGCAAACAGACGAAGTCTTCAGGACTGAGAATAATACATTGAATCCTCGGATTGACGTTACCGGACTTGGCGGGGTCAGCGCCATTGAACGAAATTCCGGGAGAACATACATCCAGCGGAACCAGTGGAAATTCTCATGCCAATCTATTCCTAATAGACTAAACAGACCTACTACTCTTGAATGGGATCTTATTGAAAACAGACTCGACAAGAGGCCGCGCCGTGACAACACTTTCCACACAGCATTCGCATTTGAGCATGACGGACAGCCGTTCTTCATGCAAATTCGAATTTCTGGCTATCTCGAAGGAACAACGCCACAGTTGCTAGATAAGGCAAAACGGGGACTGAAGAAGAAGCTCAAATTTGGAGATGATTCCCAATCTGCGACGACGTTGGTAAATTTCGGTGGTAGGAACAATCCTTATCAAGACCCCCTCGATGAGTTGGTTGAAAATATACCGTTCGATATGATGAAGAGGAACCAGAAACCCACCACGCAGATAATAGGAGGGCGACCGGATAGTAGTCTGGGTTTCGAGATCATAGATGAAGAGGAGTCATCACACGATGGACCAAAGGACAACCCCCACGATCAACCATCCCCACCTGTAGCTTTAGAGGAGATTCGGGAGGAGGCACTAGCATTGTTGTCTTTAGACCGACCCTTAAGGAGGATGGGGAGAGATAGGTCAGGACATACGGCGGAAATACTATCGCCAGTCGGCCATGGACAACAAGCGTCTTGCGACGGATTGTCGACACTCGATATCCAAGTTGGACAATCTACGCATTCAAGTATCATCGAAGACCAGGGACAAGATGAAGAGACGCCTAAACCAACGATTCCAGAGCCCAACGAGATCTACGAAGAATTTAGGAGGCTTCTTAACGAAGCTTCCATACCGATGGTCCTAAAACTGATTATGATATGGCTTCTTGGAATTGGAACGAAAATATCACTCTTTTCAGGGAGAAATAGCATGACACGTGCAGCAAATACTTGAGAGTGTTTCTTACCTATGACAAGTTTCGAGGAACTCTTTTGATGTAAAATTCGGTGGAGGAAAGGCTGCTACTAGGATTTAACGGGATTAAAAAAAAGAAATGATTGTCGAGGGCGTGTCGAATATCCGGAATGATGAATTCACGGTTGAATGTTACACGGATGAGGGTTATCAGGTTCGGGCCAAAAGTTTGGGACATTTGACGGGCGGGTACATACTGTTTGAAGTGGAGCATATGCGCACTATGTGTCGTTCCTTTCAGCGGGTAAGAGGCTGAGAGGCCTAAGCGAAAATCGCTACCCACTATTAAAATAACTATTAGGATTTAGTGAGTAAGCCACCCGACTGTTAGCCCTAAGATTAATAGTTGTTTAGGTATCTAATCGCTCACTGACTAAGAGCATGTTCTAAACTTTTACCTTCCAGTTAAAGAGTGATGCTGCCCGCGCTGTAAAAGGTTGATAGGCCTTGCCGAGCTGTAAGCGAAAGAGGTGTAGTCCAAATACCTTCCCACGCATACAAACCCCAATATAAACACATGTACCTCCTCCCATTTTCAACCCTTATTTCAACACCAACGCAACACCTATTAGTACTCAACCACTTTAAATCAATTATTGCACACCCAATCGAGCCTCAAATCTCAAACAGTTACAATCAATTGAAAGCCCTTTTCTAGGTCAATTATAGTCTCCAATATTGGGATGTGCACTCAAGATTTGCACGTAATGATGCTGTTTGAAGCTGGCAGACCTGTTAGATCGCGGTCGCATACGCCAGATAGCCACGTTAGCTTCAAACTTGTGTAGCACAGCCAATACTTGGATGCAGATCTTCAAAATGGAGCACGAAATCAATTGAATTGAGAACTTTCGAGCGCATATAAGTATATCGAATTTGAGGTCAAATTGAGTGTGGATTAATTGATAAAGTCTTATGTAATGATCTGGTCAAGCTAGGCATAAAATGCCAACGAAAATAGCGCATATATACACGTGCGGTACCTAAGTAGGTACTTAGAAGCTGAAGCACAAAGATACCTACCTACTCTCTCTCCATCCTCCGTAGCTTAACTTCCCGCTATTTTGCCAATCCATCAAGACCAGTTCCCATAGCAAAACCAGCATCCTATCTCCAGTTAGCATTGCCAGATTGAGGGATGCGTGAAACTTACCAAGGCGGATTGTGGTATTGATGTTGCAGTTGTGCTCATCCTTATCATCTCTACATTGTTACCGTACCAGAATCGACCTGTAGTGCGATTCGTGATACTATCTACGACGGCTGTACCGTATTCCATCGTATCCATTCTGGGTAGTTGGTCATTGCCCTGAGCCCTGCTAATAAAAGTATCTTCAATGCTCTTATATAAAGACTCTGTAGGAAGTTTCAGATCGCCAAAGTAAGTCTGACCCATAGTTTTAACTGCCCCCGTCACAACCTCAAGCACGTCGACTCCGAAGGGAGCAAGTTCTAGCCTGAGGGTTTCTGCTACCAGCTCCAGGGACCGCTTGGATGCCGCATACGTTCCTTCGACGTAAATTAATCAAAGCTCATGCAGGTATCAATGAACATCGGTCTGGGAGCAGGGAGGCTGGTGATAACGAAAACACATACCCATATATGGGACGTTGATATATCCAGAAATTGACGTGACGTATACCGCCATACCCTTAGCCTTAATAAGCAGAGGGGCGAACGCTTGAGTGAGCGCAATCGGGCCATAGAAATTTATCTCGAAGAGATCCCTAACCTTGTCTAGGTCCTCGTCAAGTATCGGCATGAAATGGTTGCGTCCTGCGTTACTAACTAAGTAGTCTAGAGTGCCGCCTGTGTGCTTGGTCACCGCTTCGACGGCTGCCTTAATGTCGTCTGATTTCACGACATCAAGTGTCAGCAAAGTTACGTTGGAGAGGCCATCAAGGCTCCTCATTTTGGAAGGATTGCGAGCTGTGGCGAAAACGTGGAATCCACGTTTTTGAAAAATAGTAGCAAGCGCGGAACCAATGCCGCCATCGCTACAGCCGGTAATCAAGACGGTTTTCGGAGAAGCCATAATCGCAGTAAAGGTGCAGAAATGGTAGTAATGGTGGTTAGGTATAAGGGAAGTAAGGTTGAAAGAGTAAAAGAGGGGTAGACAATTGAAGAAAGAAAGTTAGGAAATTTATTCGACAGCCCGAATTTATAGATTGCAAACAATAGTAGGCATGCAAGGGCGGCACCACTAACGGCGGCAGAACTGTCACTGTCCGCGGCAATCTATGAAATGTCTACGAAATGGAGTGATTAGCTTCTTGAATATACGTAACAATCAATAGACTTACCTCTTCCTAAAGCTTTCCAAGCTTCTTTTCTAGAAACTCGAGGTAGCGCAATTTTTGCTTGTGGGTTCGCTTCTTAAGCTGCTTCAACTTGTATCAATATTTAATCGTGTCATGATTTATTGAAAGTTCGCTTACCTTTTTCACATGAGGAGGCAATCTGGATACCCAAGTCCCATCTTGGTGGGAGTACGTGTTCTTTGAGTAAATGCTATATGTCATTGGTCATTACGTAACAGCACTGGAATTATGGTACAAGACAGACCAAGTATGACAATCAGCTGCAGCAATCCTCGTGTGCGAATATAAGTATGAAATAACTTACGTGATGGTCATTTGGTGGTTGTGGTTCTGGTCGTGGTTGTAATGGTGTGGTATTAGAAAGGTGTTAATGTGATATAGTTACGCTGGAGGAGGAGTTGAGTGATGCAGAGCCCCTGACTTAGTGTTGTCGTATTCCAAGTCCTGTCGACTGACCTCAGGATGTATGACAAGATGGAAGTATAGGAGAAGAAAGTCTTTCCAGGTTGAAAAGAAGACTCATCTGTATAACTATGTGAGTGGGTAGTCTGTGACAATAACTATTAGACCTTCTCCACTAGTGCTTCCCTGATGAACATAGGAAACTAGGCATGGAACTCTATGACAGACCATATGGGAGCACTTTATTATGTAACTTGTATGTATGTGTTGGAGAAATACCTAGTAGTCCCTTGAGTGCCGGCTGTCTACAACTATGTACATAGGTATTAGGTAGGTAGTGATTAGGAGTAATACACTTCCAAGGTTGGCTAGGTAGGTACCTACCCGAGTAAAGCACCGACAACTAACTCTGATCAGGACATAGGCTAGATACTGGTCTGAATTAATCTCTAGTGTTGGTCAATAAAGAGGTCGCTGTTTTTCAGGTAAAGTTTGCCCTGTGACTTGTATCCCTGTCACTTCGACTGGAAGTTCTCACGCATCTTCTCTTGGGATGTCCTCAAAGGGCGACCTGATGATAATTTGCTCACTATATTTAAATAGGTGATATTAGATAATAGGACCATTAAAAAAAACGCCCTACATTACAACAATCATTCATAAAAAAAAGGGGGGGCTCAGCTGGGATTCGAACCCAGGATCTTATCCATTACCTAGTCTTGCAAATATGCCGACCCGGAAGATAGGCCTTGACCACTAGGCCACTGAGCCATTAACAAGTGCCTTGGAAAGAAGGGGAGGCAAAATTGATCCCCAACCTGTCCTTACGCGCGCGGTTGAAACTGGTAGTTATATTCCCAGCGGTAGGTACCCAATAAAAAAATATCTTGGAATTATGGTACCTACTGCCTTGTTGGGGTTTGTGTGTAAGAGAAAAGGGGGTTGTGGTTTCCCGTTACTCCTATGTTCTCATCGTGCTTGAACTATCGGTCTGCCCATGAACCTTTAGCATATGAAGCTGGCTCTTTCCTATGAGTGTTGAGACGTATTGCCATAGAGAATGATTAAACCCCTTCGAAGAATCCTAGGTAGTTTCTTCTTTTCTTCTTCTTCTTCTTCTTCTTCTTCTCTTCCATTACGATCAACGATTGCGAATAGTTCGAATATAGACAGCTACTAATACAATACTCGAATTTGTGATCATTATACTATAACTTCCACCCCTATAACGCATATACAACCACCAAGAACGTTCAAGATGAATAGCCAACTAAAACGCTCTGCGGATGATGTGCTGGAGAGGAACGAGGGGAGCAAAAGAGTGAAAGTCGAGGGGTACGACGTCGATTATCTTCGAGAGCAGCAGATCGTGCTTGAGAATTTACTGAAGACCGAGACCCTCGAAGACGATCAGGCAATCGAAGTGTCTCGGCTTATAGAGCCAGCTCACCCCTCAGGTGATATTGAATCCGCGCCAGAGCTAATCGCCGACCTACTAGCATAGGTAAATTCATACCCATGTTGTGTACGATTGAAGGCATCTAGGAAGCTGATTCGTTCGTTTCGTAGGTCGCCGTCGCCACCAACGTTGCAGTTGGTGCCACCACCAATGGAGATGATATTCATCAGAAGCCTTCTACACGACAGGTGATGGTTGGAAGGCTTGCTGGAGTTGGTGAAGGATCGGAGGTCGGTTTAGAAGGATATCGGAACGCCTTAACTAGGTACTCTAGAGAAGGATTTGTTAGTAGTTAGCTCTGAGAAAAGTAGACAAAAGGTTCATGTATGTATGCTGCGTTCCTTAGTCAGGGGTAGTCGAGAATTATACCTCCTGCGTAACAGCGTCGTCGTTCTCTCGTATCCGAGATCCGCCTTGTGACGGTGTTAATATGGGTAAATAATGAGCTGTTGTGGGCATCTAGGTGAACTGAGTGTTAAAATGGTTGTCAAATAAGTTCAAGGGTGTTATATGAGTAAACCACTATCATTGATTATGCCTTTCTCGTGGCAAATATCATGACAACTGGGGTTCTGATTCTCACTTTTTTATCCTCTAAAGCAGCCTCCAGCTCGTCCCAAACTCCCTGAATTTCTGTTTCTGGGATAGGCGGTACCCATGTAGAAAGATATCCTTTGAACCACTCGATATCCTTCATGTCAAACCATTCCTCGTCATCCTCGACCCAGATCTTCTCTTCGCTTTCCTTAACCTTCCTCTCCGCTGTCAGATTGCTCATCGCAAAGTCGTTGAGGTTCCCCCGAGTGTTGATATACACCCTCTTAACTGTCTCCCAATTATCTTCGGGGAACTCCAAGTTTTGTAAAGCTGAGTTGACCGTTCTGAGAGCTCGTTCATATACGTCGCCCCGAGCTAACCCAGAATGTGTAGCCCAAACCCCCTTCCAAGCGGCTTGCGCTCGTTCGCCCCCGTCGATCAGCGGACGGACATAATAAGTGATTGCGAGTGTACCGCCAGTCTTGAGTTGCCTACTAAATTCGCTGATGGCAGCCCTAGGGTTGGTCCACTGGATGCATTCGCATGCGGCGATCAGGTCAATCGATCCAGTCTCAACAGAGCTCTCCTCCGCAGGTTCTTGGAGGAATGTGAATTTTGATTCTGGGAGAGATGCATCTTCGACAAGGAGCTTCTTTGCAAGCGTAACATAGCCGTCGTTGGGATCGGAAACAATGACACTGTGGAAACGAGTGGCAAGGGTGGATGAGACAATCCCACAACCAGCGCCGACATCGTGGCCTATGGACCAGGTTGCCCCTGGCTTTTGGGCATGATAGTTAAATATGCGACCGAAGAAGGCCGTCTGATACAAAGGACGGTAGGCGAGATAAGTCGACCAGTTGACGTTGTTAAAGCCGAGTTTATTCACTGGTACGTCTGTAGATGCCATTGTGAAATGACGAGAACAAGGTGAAATAGATACCCGTTATAAAGAATATTTGTACTTGATTAGTTATATGTATATCTTACTATAAAAGAATGAGTGTGATAGCAGAGACGTTGCGATGATATATCTTCGTAAAGCTCCAGTCCTCTTCCGGAAATGACACGGAAGGCGGGGAACTTGGTCGGAAGGTGACCGTCATATCTCACCGGCATATACATGTTCGTTCCCTTCTATGTGACTATGACTTTTCGTATATGTACATAGCATGACAACCTAGCGATTCCATACTAGCCGAAGCTCTTACTGATGGCACGCCAATACTTATATAAGTCCATGTATATGAAAGCGTGATAATGGGAACAATAGATTTGGATGATGCGATGGCATTGTCCTCAAATTTACCTGCCAAATTCATGTGCAATCTTGAATCATTTGGCATCAATATTGTAAAGGTACATAATTACATCGATACAGGGAACTTATTATCGTGCTTTCCCTTTATTTACAAGGCAAAAGTTTAAAGTTTGGAAGCTGTGAAAATGAAGGCAAGCACAAGGCGGGACGTCAAGGGGCTTAGCGGGACCCGCGGGAATGCGAAAAAAAAGAAGAGAGCGACCGTTCCCTATTGACGAAACGCGAAAAATGAAGAAGAAATAACCAAGAAAAAGTTAAGGGCTCAACCGGGATTTGAACCCGGGACCACTCACATTGCCTCATTGGATGAGACGGACCAACGTTAGCCCGAAGCGAGTATCCTACCACTAGACCATTGAGCCTTTATAATCGGATAATCACAGAAGCGACTATCCTAGGGAAGGCGCCTTCCGCACTTTCCCCGCTTGTCGTGACTGCCCCGTATCGGCCCCTATGTTCCTTCCTTTTTTTTGTCCGTTAGCCTTTCCTAGTATAGATTAGTCTCGCTTTAACTTCGGGTAGGAGCGGCCGGCAGATCCTTGGAGAAAATGATTAAAGTTCAAGGTTCCAAGGTTGAAGTCATACGTGCCGACCTAGGTCAACTCTATTTCTCCTAGGTCAAGTAGGTACCTAATTTGGTAGGTGTCAACTTCCAAGTTGCATCCATTTCTCCAACGCGACTTTCAGTCGAGTCGCCAGCTTAGAGTCCACCTAATTCCATCAAACTTCATCTGGCTTCGTCCAGCTTCATCTCTTGCCTTCTTTATTTGTGTTTATGTATTGTTTCGTACTTTGCCAGGTCTCTTGATGATCATCATTCCCAGGCTTGTTCTTCCTGCACACGGGGTTTTAAGTTGGGGTATATCAACTTCCCAATCCATAGCTGATGCTAGCAGGGTCCCCGGTCATATTTTACTTGACGACACGCGACGCTTTAATAAATTTATCAACGATGCCTTGCCTGTTTGACTACACTTGACTCGATTAAAGAGATGTTTCTTTCAAGTTTTCTAGGTGCTCCGTCAGGTCGGAGGGGTTCTATTATATCGAGCAAGTCAAGATCGTCTAGACGTTCTCCTGAAATTTCGCCGTCGCGACCTCAAGATTTCGATGGATCCTCTTCTCCTGAATATCTCTCCGACGAGTCGCAGCTTCAGTCTGCGGCTCCGACGCCTCAAGATGTGCTCGATTTGAATAACAATCTCGAATTACTCGCCGCCTTGTTTCCCGATGTCCAAGTCGAAGTTTTCAGGGAAATGCTCACATCCTTTTCCGAGGAGTCGCGATTATTTATTATCACGGACAAATTGTTGAAGAATCCTGGCTTATACGTGAAGGGTCGACGGAGAACCAGCGATGGCACCAGTTCCGACTCGAACGTCCCACGAACTGAGGCTTTTAGAACAGTGGAATATAAAAAGGCGGTGCGAGCTCTGGCGATGCAGGAATTCAAGGGCTTATCCAGATCCTCCATCGACGCCGTATTGTCAGAGTCAAATTATTCCTACCTCGACGCGCGACCGACCCTTGTCGACATTTCTTCGAAATCGTGGAAGTTCACTATATCTTCCTTGTTCTTTCGCCGCAAGCCTGTTACCTCTACCGAGGCCGAGACGCACCCCCTTATTATATGGAGAACATCTGAGGACGGATCGTTGATTCCAACTTTAAAGGCAACCGGCAGCGCCGAATTGGATAGAGAACTATTCGAAGAGCTGATTGTCCCATTAAAACAGCGCGAACAGCTTTCGCGAGAGACCAGCGACCGAGCCCTAGCTATATCTCTACTTACGGAAGAGGCCGAAGCTATGGAAGCGACTTACGAGTGCAGCTGCTGCTATTCCGACGTCATTTTTGAGGAGCTCACTACCTGTGATGCCGATGGTCATTTACTCTGCTTTCGTTGTGTTCAACATTCTATCACCGAAGCCGTATTTGGGCAGGGCTGGCAACGTAGCATCGACAAAGAGACGGGTGCTCTTCGCTGCCCGGCTGTAGCATCGACAGAGTGCGCTGGTTGCATATCATCCGAGCACATTCATCGAGCTATGCGCGAGGAGAAGAACGGCGAAGAGATCATACGCAAACTTGACCAACGTTTAGCGGAGCATGGTCTCTTGTCCAGCGGCTTGCCTCTAATTCGGTGTCCATTCTGCACCTACGCAGAGGTCGATGAGTTGTATATACCGGCTACCTCGCGCAGACCTAGAATCCGTAAAAGCAACCTTGCCAATATTATTGTCCTATTTGTTTTTCTATTGTTATCGCCACTCTATTTCCCTGTTTTAACAGCAGTGCTGGGTCCTGCTATGCTCTGTTTGAACGGATCGTTCAGGGGCTACGTATCCCAGCACCTAAGAGCGGCCGTCACCCGGTATCAGCGTCGTCGCCGGGGATTGAAATTTACCTGCCAGAATCCGGCTTGTGCCCGATCGTCTTGTCTATCATGTTCCA